AGCCAGGAGAGTGCTGGACCTTTCCAGGTCGGCACCCAGTGATGGACCTCCAACCTGCTCTTGCCTGCTACCAGCACAGGGAGCTCTGAATCAATCCATGGATTAATCCTTTGATGACTACATTGCCCCTGAAATTTCCTCATTGTCCAAACTCCGTACTTCTAGACACACAAGGCTTTAGGAGACATCTAGATCTAAATGATAGCACACTGCAAATTACTGCCATTATTATTTGGCTAATCATGAGATGTGACTTGACTGATTTATGATTCATCCATTATATCAATGAGTTGCCCTTGTTTTTAAGATGATTAAAACCACTGTTCTAATACCTAGAAAAAATATATTTCAACATTATTTTTGCTCACTATATTAGTGCACTATTAAAATGTGTGGACCTTTTTATGTAAAGTCATGGCTTGGACAGGGTGTTCAACAGTGCAATGAAGCAGGAAAGACCCGGCAAGTGTAAGCTCTAGAACACAGATTCAACGTGAAAACTGAAAATTCGAGAAGGGTTCTGGCAGTAGAAAAGTGACTAAACATCTGCTTATTTTACTCTGGAAACCTACTACTCAAACACGTGAGCACAAAGCACTCTTTTTTTAAAAATTTTATTTGTGTGTGTGTGTGTGTGTGTGTGTGGCCAGCTCAGCCCACCAGGGTGAGGGGCCGGCTGGCATGTGGTGCTGGGGGATTGAACCGCGGTCCCTGCGCTCCACTAAGCTTGTTCTAAGTAGGTGCTTTAGACCACTGAGCCATCTCACTAGCCCCGCAAAGGCAAGCTTGATGCTCCAATGAGGTGCAGGTTTTCAACACGAGATTCTTTCAGGCACTTTAAATTTTTCATACCTCCTTTCTGGTATAATTCTCATCTGTTATGATTACCTGAAGCAATCATAAGGTGTGCTTACATTGCTATACATTCTATTACATTTATTTTTATTTGCATACAATAAAATATTATATTAATATATAAGTGAAGAAACTTTATTCTTAGTTTTCATCAAAGGTTTCTGGTTGTGAAGATATTCAACTGACAATTTATTGATGTCTTTGTTCCATATAAAACAAATCTTTGATCTACATCAAACAAAAATGCATATGGGCAATGATGGCAGCAGTTTAGCGAGGCTTGCTCGATGTCATTATGTATTTCAGGAACCTTTGAAACAGATTTATTTTTAACTTATTATTCTTTTACTTTCCTAGTGAGTCATACAGAATCTAATTCTCTGTAATTAAATGGAGTTAACACGAGGAGGAAAGATAATAACGGATAACCTTTGAAAATACACTCACTTAATGTTACATATCCATATCCCACTGTGGAATATTTGAATATATTAAAGGACTTGAATTTTTTATCTGCTTGGTATCAGATTGCTAGTTAATTAAAATAAGAACTATTAACTCTCGAAATACCCAGGCAAATTTTATTCTTTCACACAGCTCAGTATATTACAAATTCTTCCATCTCTCACACAGTCACTTGTTGCACTTAGATTTCCCTTAGAATGCATAACTCCATAAGCTCAGACAGTTGAAGCTCCGAGAGGTTGTTGAGTGCCAGCCTTAAGACAGTGTATCTCCAACAAGGATCTAAAGAATTCCTGAGGTTAGGCAGGAGATCTGGTTCAATATT